TAAAATTAAAGATAGCATATAAATTAATCAAGGCTTTCACAATCCCATGAACTTTATTCCACTGTCATCTTACTCACTCAGCCTAACTCACCAAGGTCCAAGGCAGAGACTAGAATTATAAGAAAACAGAACAATTTTACATTTTAAAAGCCTTTCTCTTTCAAGTCTCAGGAGCCAAATGGAAGCTGAACGACCCCAGTGGTAGAGAAGGGGAACTAAGCAAGGGTTTGGTTGACTTTAACACAGACCTCCGGCTGCTTTGTCTAATGGCTTGTTTAGTCTTGTTGGAGGTTTTTCTTAGCAGTTTTCAATAATTACCTTGTTTTGTGTCCTCAGCCAATTCACCTTCACCCCAGGGCTGTGTGGAGGCTGCAGTTTAAAGCCCCAGGTTTCTCTCTGAAGTAATAGCCTGGGAGAGGAGATAAAAAGCATTGCTTAATGAGTTAAATGCGTTCTCTCATGTTTCCGCTCCTCTCCTTGGCTTGGATCTGCTTTCCCTTGTTTTGCCCTCCCCTTTGAATTCTGTGGAAATCTGCCCGTTTCTGGTTCTTAATGTGTGCTTTGTTTTCATTTCTCACTCCCCCAGCTGACTTGGAAAATGAAGACTGGTGCCTGGGATCGGAGCTGACGTCGGCCAACATAAAGACAGAACCAGCAGTGGCTGAAGCGCCCGGCCTTGCTCCCTCAGGCAGTCTCACTGCTTCCCCCAGCCCCACGGTCCTGGATGGGGAAGAGCCACGGCTGCAGGATGATGGCATGGTATGGTTTCTGGTACTCAAAGACTTGGTTAGCAAACAGATGATGTCCCTGGATAATAAGAAACATAGTTGTTGTTCAGTCGTTAAGTGGTATCTGACTCTTCGTGACTCCATGAACCATATTGCGCCAATCCTTCCTGTCCTTCACTGCCTCCCTGAGTTAAGAAACATAGTGCCTTACCTAATTTGAGGCCAGGCTGTTAGTCTGTTCAGCACAGTGTTAGCCATTATGACTGTGTCTTCTCCGAGTTTCACACAACTCTCTTATCATGCGCTGTACAGACACATGTACATATTCATGACACTGTTGTCTTTTAGGGTAACAGTACAGGCAAGGAGTAAGAAATAGGAAACAAAAGAAATTAAAGGCAGGAGGTGCACCTGAATCTAGCATATAGCAAGTCCATTGGTACTTTGGTTAACTTTTCCATCCTTTACAAAAAAAAAGGCCTTTATTTAATTAACAGAACAAACAAACGAGAGAAACAAGAAAAGAATATATATATATATAATAGCATCTCATGCAAATATATATGCATATACAAAGGTTTCAGTGAAGGTTGACTGTATTTCATTCTAATCATCCATACATAATCTACATCTTTAACCAATTTGTTCCTAAATCACAAGTAACATCAAGTCTTCACTCCATTGACTAATTAAGTCCATTAATTTATCTTTCCAGTGTTGAAGAACAGCTTTCTTTGCAAAAAGGGCGCAGAGAATCCATTTCAGTCCTTACAACCCATCCATACTTCCACCATGTCCATAACCAATTCTTGCATAGCCATTGGTCTTTACATTTATCACCTTTTTTTTTTCAGGATCTCATCAACTCCATCCAACCACAGAATTCTGGGTTTTCCTCTTCCCCTGAATATATTCACTCTTCCTTTACAATTCTTGAACTCAATTCTTTATTTCATTCTCTCTATAAGACTAAACTACTTCAATGCACTTCATTTGTGTTATCACTCATTTTTGTATTTAGTACTAATTCATTCATGATCCTACCTCTTCTTGTTTTATCACACATTCTTCTTAGCTACCCCATTTCCATTGCATTCAACTTTCTTTTATGTTTCTCCTAACATACCCAACTCTTACTTCTGCATTACAAAGTTAGGAGAAGCACATTCTTATGCATCTTTGCTTCATTTGGCAAATGTTCATTTCTTGCAACAGGCCACATATGCCCATTATATTTCTATCAGCATTTACATGTCCTTGTTGCATCATTTACATATCTTTGTTGCGTGATACAATCTATTTACAAATTTGCTGCAAGCCATTTGAATTCTCAGCCAACAACAGAGTGTAATATATATAGTAAGTTACATGTATATTCACTTCTAATGTTGCCATAAGCATTCTTTATATATGTATTTGTAAGCAGCCAATGGGCTATCATCCATCCTTGTCTTACTCCCCGATCAGGGTTGAACTGTTTGCTAAGCATTCACTTTTTTCTCATGTATGCTTTACTTCCATCATGTACCCTCTTCTTGCCTTCAGGAACTAACCTATTCATACAAAAATTCCATAATTCAAATCTGGTCACTTGATCATACTCTTCTCTAAATCACAAACATACAATCATTGTTCTTTCTCACAGTCATACATTTCTCAGTGACCTGCTGAAGAGCAAAAATGGTCAGCAGATTCTCTGCCTAGTGCAAAGCAGCACTTCTCTATCTGCAATCATTCTACTTCAACTTTTGTTTCTTTCACTTCTTTCCTTCTTTTCCGTGTTTTTCTTCCATTTTTTTCCAAGATCCACTCTTGACTCTACCAAACCATGGTCAAGCCGCCCAGAGTCACCCTCTGGGGGAGATGGGCGGTATGTAAATTTAATAATAAATAAATAAAATACCCTATATTCAGAATATCTCATTACCTTGTATCCTTCACTGATTATTTCAGTCTTTCATCATAAACAAATCAATCATACTTTTATATATATATATATATATATATATATATATAT